AAAAAAAAAAAAAAAAAAAAAAAAAAAAAAAAAGAGTTGCTCAGTTTAAATGTCCAGGTGTGGGGTGGCACTGTCCTTTAAAATGGTTGACAGTTTATTTTCTTTGGTTTAGTTCATCTCGTTGATATCTGGAACATGATCGAAGCTTTCCGAGACAATGGCCTTAACACCCTGGACCATACCACTGAGATCAGCGTGTCCCGCCTCGAGACCGTCATCTCCTCCATCTACTATCAGCTGAACAAGCGCCTTCCTTCTACTCACCAGATCAGCGTGGAGCAGTCCATCAGCCTCCTCCTCAACTTTATGATCGCCGCCTATGACAGGCTAGTACCTCACACGCTCACTTTTAACTGGTGCCCGTCTCCTCACGGCCCCCTCCACACCACCTTGCTGACCGCTTAGTTGGGGTGAATTACTCGTAGCCTACGTCCTCCCACATTCCGGACAGTCACTGCTGGCCTCTGGTGTGCCACAGGTCTGTCCCAGATGGGGAATCACCCACTTGAGTCATATCGTCGGGTAAAATGATAGGCCCTTTAGCAGACCTGTTCGCTCTCCAAGAATTAAGGAACATGCGTAAGCTTTGAACATGCTGATGTGGCTTTCTAGTTGACTTTAAGGCTAATCTTTCTTTACTCTGCAACACCAAATGCCTGTAGACTGAAGTTTTCTCCTGAACGGCTAAGAATCAGTTTCAGACTTTTTCAGTTTGACACACAGTGCGGTAGACTTTGCAAGAAGAGCAAGAGACCATTTGAGTGTAGCGAAATTCAAGTGGAAAGGATTTCCTCAGTTATAAAAGGCAAAGCAGAGTCAAGCCAGTCCCGAAGGGTGGAATGTGGGGGACTGGTTCTGTTCCAGGAGCCAAGAGTTCCTGTCTCTTCTCACTGTGCTTCTGTTGACCATGGGGTTTGGATGGATGCATTCTCTTGCAATCTCAAACCCTTGATAGAAATTGGTGTTCCTTGTGACTTAGCATTTGATCATGGCCCTGATTGGCCAGGGCTAGCTAGGGGCTTCTTAGGGGTATAGCTTTTCCATTCTCAGGCAAGTCTGAACAAGTCCCAGGCTTTGTCCTTATTTGGTTATTACCCGTGGGGTGGTGGTGGTTGGGGGGCAAGGGGAGTCGGCCCAGGCTTACGTATGGTCCTTGTCTAGTGTCAGGGGCATTGGTGATTGATTGTCCTTTGTTTGTGAACTGAGGCCCAGTTCTTAACTGTGTTATTAGGGCCTGTCATGATAGTCACCTGGCCTTCTCGGTCTCAAGGCAGGAAGGTGGAGCTAGAGGTCTCCTGCTGTGCGCCTCCGGCTTCTGCGTGTGCAGGCATGGCCTCACACAACCACACACACACACACACACACACACACACACACACACACACACACACACGGAGGTGGGGAGAATAACTAGACAGTTTATCAGAAGAAACAGAGAAGGGCTGTGTAGAACTCTCCTGGTTCATTCCCCAGTACTGCCAAAAGATGGTGTGTGTGTGTGTGTGTGTGTGTGTGTGTGTGTGTGTGTGTGTGAGAGAGAGAGAGAGAGAGAGAGAAAGAGAGAGAGAGAGAGAGAGAGGGGACATGAGTGGAAGAGCAGGCCGGACAGAACTAGTGGATGCAGAGAGATGAAGAGGAAGGGGTGCACTATGTTAGAGGGGGTCTTGGTAATCTTCAGGCCAGTATGTCTACACCTGACATTGGATGTCAGAATATGTTATCACGTCTTTACTAATGCTGAGATCTGGTAAGAACTTAGCTCTCCAGAAGTTTAAAATTGGTATCCTTGTACTGGAAACAAGAAAGGATCTGATTATTAAATCCTTCAAAGTTTAGCCATTTTATTGAATGGGCGTATTTATTGCTTAGGCTGGGGCATTCCTTTGATATGTAGATTACCTAGTCACATATTTTAATTGAGTCTTTCATATTTTGTATTCATAATTCCTTAAAATTAGAAATTGAATTCAATAATTAATTGTTCTTAATTTCTTTTTGCCTTCAGATTTATAGTCAGTATTTTTGTCCAAATGTTTTCTGAGTGGTATTGTAGATTATAAAACTCCCATACATGCTAGGGACAATTGGAGTATAGGATTTTATTCCTTAAGTGAATATTTTCTGAGGATTTATTTTATTTTACTTTTTTAAAAGATGAGAGTTTTGCCGGGTGGTGGCGCACGCCTTTGATCCCAGCACTCGGGAGGCAGAGCCAGGCGGATCTCTGTGAGTTCGAGGCCAGCCTGGGCTACAGAACGAGTTCCAGGAAACCCTGTCTTGAAAAACAAAACAAAACAAAAAGATGAGAGTTTTAAATACTGTTTGAGAACTAAGAAAGAGCAGGCGTCTGTGTGTAGGACTGAGTGAAAGCCACAAAGAGGAATGAAAACAATCACAAACCCATTTTCATCCCTGCGGTCCCTCACACCACAGGTGCTGATGTCCTGTGGTCTGGCCAAGCTGAGAGGCCCATGAGAGAGCCATGCAAGGAAATCCGTGTTCCTAGTATGCAGAGATGGCGAGGCTGCATCATTTCCTGCCACATTTACATTCTGGGGCTGTTACTTACAACCCCCTTTCTGTTTCCTGCCAGTGTGTTAGTTTAGCGACTTAGATCCCAGGCCTAGAAAGTCCAAGATAACAGGGGCCTACAGGGAAGCCAGCCCGGGTTTCCTCTGCATCTGGCTCTGGCCGCGTTCCCTGGAGCTGCTCCTGGCTTAGTCCTGTAGCATGAATCTTAAAGGGTCTTATTAATAAAAACAAACCAGGAGCCAGCTTGTTTGAATGCTGGAAGATCAGAGAGACGAACACAAGCCACAGATAAGGTCACCTCACCAATTCCTCAGCTGATCTTGTTTCCTCAAACTGGAAGCCTCTGTGTCCTCACCTGAATGGATCTCAGCTGAACTGCTGCTAAAAGCTTAAAAGCTTAACCAGCCTAGTTCCTGGTCCTCATGCCTTACATACCTTTCTGCTTCCTGCCATCCCTTCCTGGGATTAAAGGCGTGAGTCACCATGCCTGGCTGTTTCCAGTGTGGCTTTGAACTCACAGAGATCCAGAGGATCTCTGCCTCTGGAATGCTAGGATTAAAGGTGTATGTGCCACCATTTTCTAGCCTCTGTGTCTAGTGGCTGTTCTGTTCTCTGACCCCAGATAAGTTTATTAGGGTGCACAATATATTGGGGGACACAATATCACCACATAGTCCTCTTCTGGTGTCAGCTTTATTCTTGGGCTGACTTCAGAAGGATGCCTGCCATCGGGTCCTACCAAAGCCTCCTTCCTCCTTCCACACCTAGGTAAAGGGAGAGAGGGGAAGAGCCAGCTTTTCTGAACATCAAACAGAAGTACCCAGGCTTCCCTCCCGACCTGTGCCCTTAAGAAGTATGTCATGCAAGGGTTCTGTCTTATACTCAGGCTGTCAGGGTGTGTACCCCTGGGGCACAGGGTTGTTTAGTTCTGACCCTGACTGTAGGCCTCCATGTGGTGAGCGTGGATGACCTAGGTGTCCAGTGAGCTATTCTATGGCTTGGTACCCATTGCCGCGGAACCTCATGCACACTGTAAGCTTGTGGGTGCCTTTGTCAGGAAATGGCCCAAGTGCCTGGCAGTTCCTGAAACTTGACACCCGAGAGTCACTCAAGTTGTCGCCTCCCAGAGTCCACACGCAGTCATCAGTACTGAGTTCTTTCTGTCACATCTCCCTCCTGATCAGCTCTCCCATCTATGTACCTCCCTGTAGATTCCTGACCCACACCATCCGAGCCGCCCACCATCTGAGCCGTCCTCAGCTTCTCCTGAGCGGATGCAGTGCTCTTCACTAACTTTTTTTTTGTATATACGTCTTCCCTCCCTCATTCATTCATTCATTCATTCATTCCATTCATTCATTCCTAGAAATAATAAAATCATGCACTCACTGTCAACCTCAAGGATCGGAACACTGGCAGTGACTTCTTTTTTTTTTTTTTTTTTTTTTGAGACAGGGTTTCTCTGTACAGCTTTGGAGCCTGTCCTGGAACTCACTCTGTAGCCCAGGCTGGCCTCAAACTCACAGAGATCCGCCTGCCTCTGCCTCCCGAGTGCTGGGATTAAAGGCGTCCGCCGCCGCCGCCGCCGCCGCCGCCGCCGCCGCCGCCGCCGCCGCCGCCGCCGCCGCCACCACCACCTGGCTTACTTATTTTTAAAGACAAGGTCTAGTTATGTAGCCCAGGCTGGCCTGGAACTTTACGGAGATCCTCTGCCTCTGCCTCCTGAAGGCTGGGATTAAAGGCATGTGTCACTATCCTGGCTTTTGTTGTTGTTAGTTGTAAAAAGACTGCTATACATTGTATAACTTAAAGACTTAAGAGTGAGAGCCCTTAAAATTATTTCATGTCTGTCTTCCTTTCTTTGTCTTTATAACTTAATGATGACAGCCTGTGCTTTTGGTTTCATAGCCTAATATTAAATGTCACTATTATAATTCTTTTCCTGGGTAATGTATTTTTATTTATGTCTATATTATTGTGACTGTGCATTTTTGTTTTGTATATCTCTAAAACTAAGCAGATATTTAGCATTTTTTTTACTATTATTATTATTTTATCTGTGTGTGTGTTCCCCCCCCCCCCCCCCCGAAGTGTTATGTCTGTGCACCACATGCATTCCTGGGGGCTTTGCAGGCCAGGAGAGGGCATCAGAGCCCCTGTTACAGATGATTGGGAACCACCACATGGGTGCTGGGAATCGCACGTAGGTCAGTTGGAAGAGCAGATTTATTGTTTTTTGAAAGTTTCTCTCCAGTAGCCCAGACTGGGCTCTAACTCGCAGTCCTCTTGCCTCTGGCTCCCAAATGGTGGGGTTCTAAGTGTACACATAACCACGCCTGGCTACTGAGTGGACATTAACGTTTTTGTGTTGTTCTCATACTTATTCATCATATGTATTTGAACTGTGGTGAGTGTGTGGAGGTCAGAGGACCGTCTACAGGAGTCGACTCTCTCCTTCTACCGTGTGGGGCTGTAACTCAGTTAGGCCTTCACCCAGACTCAACAGCCCTAGGCTTGGTTTTTTTTTTTTTTTTTTTTTTTTTTTTTTTTAAATAGCATCAACAGGGAGCTGGAGAGATGGCTCAGAGGTTAAGAGCACTGGCTGCTCTTCCAGAGGTCCTGAGTTCAATTCCCAGCAACCACATGGTGGCTCACAACCATCTGTAATGAGATCTGGTGCCCTCTTCTGGCTTGTAGGTGTACATGCAGACAGAACACAGCATGCATAAATAATAAATCTTTTAAAAAATAGCATCAACATCATTTAATTCATGAGTATGTTTATGAAAAGTTA